GGGGGCCCTTCGTTGGGAGCAAGGCCGAAGAGGGGTTGGGGGTCCGGTGGAAAGGTACCCCCCCCCCCCCCCCAACCATGCCGCCACCGGCGGCAGCGACAGCGGTGGCGGCGTTTGTCGGGGCTTTCGGAGCTCTCCCGGGTGCCGAGGGAGGGGTGGCCGCTGCTTGCTGTTGTTCCGTTCGTCGGGATGAGGGGTGCGAGGGTGAAAACGTTTCGGAGGGGGGGGGGAAGAAGGGCGTGTTATTGGGGAGCCTGCAAAGTCGTATCACGCACCCAAAGATCAGCTCAGCTCCTCTGAATACCTACTTGGAGTTTACACAAGGATTCAATACAAGGTTGGACGTGTTTTCGTTTCATCCCGTATACTATCCGCCAGTGGCGGTGCTAACGTTCCGTATGGCCTTTGCCTCTCTAACCGGAGAGCTCCGGTACAGGGCCAAATCTAAAAATTCCTCTGCTGCTGTGGTGCATGCCTTCATGTTTTCAGCGCAACAAGGGCAATCATTCAGCAGTTCCTTCCCGCAAGTGTACCAATACTCTCGAATAAACACTTTTTACGCATGCAAGCCGCACGCGAAACACCTCGTTGGGATATCGATCTCCGAGTCATGAATGTATGCATGTAGTCGTGTAGTCGCTACAAGTACATACCAAAGTTATTCTTTTTCGAGGCAATTCACAATGAGCCAGACACGGGAGGCAAACGGGTAAGTTTCTTCCTCCGCCTGCCGGAGACTGGTTGTTGTCATCTGGAACCCACAAGGCCTCGCGCTTGCATACACCCTGTACGTGGGGTAGGTGAAGCCGGTCGGCAAATAATAACAAAACAGCCAGAAATACAAGAAACATCGTGTATGTACATCTTTACCTGCCATCTGTTTGAGAATGATGTGGTATGCGTAAACGGGCACCTACAGCAGCAGGCTCATGCAGCTCAAGGTTTGCATTCGTCGAGAGGAAGGGGCGCTTCTTCTGCTTACGTGCTTTGGAGGTCAGCCAACGGCCAAACGTGGTGGTATTCATAAAGCTAAGATTACCCACATACCACAATTTTGGACCCGGCCTTTTGGCAGTTTGTAAGGGGAAACAAATTCGCAAGAGAGAAGGCGCGCTCTCTCTCGCTCTCTCTCTCTCTCTCTCTCTCGGGGACCTTATATCAGGCTATATGTATAGAGGTTTTCGCGAAAAGAATTGGGACTACACCTAGGTCCATATTTTGGTTGTGTCTCACAAATTTGTTGGTGTACACCTGTGACCGCTGACATGTGAGTCTGCTGTATACATGCGCCCATGGTGGCCGCTTTGTCGCTTACATGTTTTGACCAGCGCGGAGGAACTATTGGACACAAAACGAAGTGGTGGTTGGGAGCAATCAACACAACAACAGCGGCAGCAAACTTCTAGCATCGTCCCAGCGCCTACCCTGAGCACTAACCCCTCCAAAACGCGAGAAAAGATGCGGGTAGACCGTGCGTAGCCCAAATATGATGGGTAGACATAGATGCCAACACGGCTCGGATCGAAATATGTAAATCGCTCCGGACACACACCCAAAGGCGGTACACCGCAGTATTATAGCTCTCCAGGTGAACACCGCTCAAGAGTTTCGGAACACTTGATTTGATTCAACGAGATTCAACGAGAAAATGTTGGAGGTGGATTGCAGAGGGTAACGAAAGATGAAAGGGGTGAACTATAATAGTGTTGTCAGATGCTGTCTGCAGGCACGAAGGGCAGTGATGAGTGTGATGTAACCTCGCACGGCTTTGGCCCTGCTGTTTAACCTTCGAGCTTGACACCACCCCCCCTGCAAGCAGGTGTATGCATATGTATGCGTATTTCACTTCTTTTTTCCCGCCTCACACCACACGCTCTCCGCTGCTGTTGGTGCCCGCAGAGATGTTTGTATATACATGACGCGAGCATCGTGTGCTCACCTTTACCCTAGGCTGCCTCGCAGCGGAAGCTGGCGTAGTCTCCGTGAGCTTTACTTGGCCGTCTGAGGCTGCCCCGGGCCTAGGAGTGGACGAGAGCCTATGTGTTTGGTCCGAGCCAGCAGCCTTCCTACTTGCCTCCGCCTGGACGGAAATGGAAGGAAAAGGAAACAACGCATGGTGGGATGATGGGGGGGGAGACGAAAATCAAGAGAAGCGAGGGTCGTTGTGGTTACACAGAGGTTCAGAAGGAAATACGGGAGTAATCAGAGACGCGCGATACAGCCTGGAAGAGGCACTGAGGGGTAACGCATAACGCACCGCCGGGAACATGGTGGTGCGGATCCTTCCCGAATCGTATAACAGCACACAAGTCTCGTTGTTGCCCCTAGCACCCATTCTGCTCACCGGTGGCATGTTGTTTTCCTTTCCCGACCTTGATGCCCGTTTCTCTCGCTCCTCTTGGAGCCGTCGCTCCCTTCGCTCAAAGAACTGCGCCTTCCTGTCCGGTGCAGCCTTTCTCTCTGCAGGGGTCACCTTCTTTTCCAATGCCGCCTTGCTCTCTTTCCATTGCTGCAGCTTGAGACGCCTATCCTCCTCTTTGCTGATCGTGGGCTTGGGTGTCACACCAACAACGGCAACGTCTGACATTGCACCGATGTGCAAATACTCCACAATAGAGGCCCTTGCGCTCTCTGTTAGTCGTAGCACTCGCTTCCTCTCTTCACGTCCAACCGCGAGCAGGTCGCGCCTTGCGACGGTGCACACCAGGCTAGCAGCCGATGTCACCAGACGAAAGGAGAGAGACGAAGGGTGTGCACACAGCACGCAGCACACACGCACACACAAATTATTGCCGAAATAAATTTCTAACTGCCACCAACTCAACTCGCCCATCAAATCACGGGGCCCCATTCTCGCCACCTACCCCGACTCACCTATACTCCTGGTAGTTGGGCCCTCACTCCGTTCGCTAGTTTCGCACAGACATCTCTCGCGACGACGCAGACGATCAGAAGGAGGACAGTGAAGGAGGCAGAAGGCCAAGGCAATGGGGGACGAGGAACGGAAAACGTGCTTCGAGTTGGCCATCCAGAATGTGGTGAGGAAGAGTGGGAAAATGTTGCCATGCAGAGACGCAAAAAGCGTGTTTGTCTGAGTTCCCGAACGTCTGATTTTGCTCCTTTCCGTAGCGTCGTATGTGTCGGCTGAAATCACACAGCAGCAGCCGGCTTGATGCTGCGTGTGCAAGCAAGAGAACCACCCTGTTCATATAGGATATGGCCAGGATCACTATGCAGCACACGTTGTAGAGTGCAGACACGTTTTCGAGTGGCAGATTGGCGTACGGGAGAGATAGTAGAGAAAGCTCGCGAACACGCGCACAGCTGTACGGGGTACCCCCCCCCTTTGCCGTCAAGAGGTCTGGCTACCGGCAGGTATACACACGGGTGCGACCGCGTTAGCACGGACCCGCAAATCTCTTCGCTGTCGCCCCAGCTCAGCCAAGACAAAGTGCCATATAGGGCGTGAAGTGGGATAGTTGCGCATGCGCAGGGCATCTTATGTGCAGGGTTCTGACTGATGTCGCTAGGAGCAAACAGGAGTCCAGCTCCCAGCTTCCCATGCGGTCGCTGCCTGTCATGGTTGTCTGGGACATGCAACAACCCCGTGTAGGTTTTTTTTTTTTATTAATATGACACCACGAAGCCATCTCCATCATAGAAAAGGTTTTTTCAGCGCATGGAGTACTCGCGTACGTCTTGGGTATTTGGAAATATCTCTTCCCAGGGAGGCTTGTGCGACTGTCTACATGTGGTATGTAGTGGTTGATAGCACTCCCCGTTGGTGTGGTACTACAACCAGCATTTGGCTCCATCTGTTCCACGCCAACCTTAACCTTTGCCCAAAACCGGCGCATGTCCGCCGTGGCGCCTATTTAGAGTACATTGTCTACACCAGAAAACTGGCGTATCTTCTGTGTTTGATCTAACTGCCACCCAAATACTAAGACAAAATACGCTCACGAAAATGAGGCCCGCAGGAAGCTTCGGTCGTCTGCATGCAACGATTCTGCGTGGCGACCGGCATCAGCCCGGGCTCGTTTGTGTGCAATATAGCATTCGGACGTACATACGCATGATAGTGTACGTAGCATCAGCACCAATACAGCAGTAGGCGCCCGCTGGTAAGAAACGTCAATTTCGGTCCAGGTTCAGTTTCTTAGTTGAGAAGTGGCCAAAATCGGGTACACCCGGTCAGAACACGGCCATAATCGGGTACCCCTACAAGATGCTGCTGGGAGCGACCGCATGCCACCATCTGATTGGCCGACGCCCGCCCCTACCCGGTCTTGGCCGTCTTTCCACCGGGTGCACCCGATGTTGGCTACTCACCCCCCGGAGGAGTACCCGGTTTTCTTTCCCCTACCCGAAAATGGCTGGACTGTTCGACCAATACTCATGCACACAAGTACACGTCAGCAACGCCCTGCCCTCGAATTCGGACGTTCTGACGGCCGGCCGGGCGGAGGCAGACCACCCGCCGGCGGTGGAAGTCTCCCTTGAGGGAAACGGCAGGCGGTCTGTCTGTGCAAATAACCAAGAAGAGCTGGATGAATCCCTCCCTCACGAGATGCGACACACACGGGACTCATCAAAAATATAGACATATTCTCTCCCTCACGCTATTTGCTCATTGGCGACAAACGAGGGCCAGTGGTGTGCGTCCGACCCGTGATTGTGTGCATGGGTTTTGGTCGAATAGCCCAGCCATTTTCGGGTAGGGGAAAGAGAAACGGGGTACCCCTCCGGGGGGTAAGTAGCCAAGATCGGGTGCACCCGGTGGAAAGACGGCCAAGGTCGGGTAGGAGTGGGCATCGTCGAATCAGATGGTGTCATGCGGTCGCTCCCAGCAGCGTCTTACACGGGTACCCGATTATGGCCGTGTTCTGACCGGGTGTACCCGATTTTGGCCACTGCTCTTTAATTTTTATTACGGGCGCGCGCCTGCTGCTGAACTGCTGAATGCATAGAAGAAAGAGATTGGGGGCAGTGGTTCCCGCCGGCACCTAGGCAAAAGAAACACCGGCAGATGCTTGAGCACAAACAAATAGAGCAGTACCGCCACACGATCCCTCTGACGTGCGAACGAAAGACTACCCAACCGCGACGCACTTCAAGTAAATCCTAACTCACCCACACTCACCCACCCACACCCCTCCCCCTAATGCGTTCGCCTCAGCAATGTGGAGCGGGGATGGGGCTCTTGTTCGGCGCCGTTCAGGAGTCCTTCAAGAACCCCCCGCAGCCTAGACCAACGGACAAGGTAGTATTGAACCCTCCCAAGAGCGACGTGATGGCCAAGGCAATGTCGTCCATGGGGAGGCAGGCGTTCATGATGGCGGCCGTGGCTGTGGTCTACAGCGCTGGAGAGGTGAGCGGTTTTTTCTTAAGGGCCTTCTCACGGCCAGCCGTTGATCAGACTTGTGAGAGCTATCTTAAGTGACTGTGAGGGCTAGGTTAAGTGACTGTGAGGGCTAGGTTAAGTGACTGTGAGGGCTAGGTTAAGGGACTGTGAGGGCGGAGAGACTATAGTCGTAAGGCGCTGCACGTAGTTTATTTGTTTTTGTCGGTAGTAGGCCAAGTCTTGCGCGTTCTCGACGGCATCGCAATTATGATTTTGTGTCGGGTTGCGTGATTAATGGCATGCATGAGGATTCCGAGGGGACGCTTTCGAGACGCGCCACTGATGCATGTGGTGCACCATTTCGTTTTCCGGTCCTACCACCGCTCTTGCCGACGGTCAAGCATCCAATTACAAGTCGGGCACATCTCTCCCTTGTACACCAACCTCCTCCCCCCGCCCGCCCCCACGCCACGCTTCTGCCACCGGTACCGCTCGCGCCCCTCTTCTGGGAATGCAACTGTTGGAACGCTCGTTGGAAACGAACACGGTGCCAAAAACCGCGGCATGGCAATGACGTTGCCAGTGCGGATCGGAGTATGTCCGGGGCAAGGACGACGCGGTCAACTCCGCCGTAGGGGCGTGCATGGCTGCCGGCGCGGCGGGATTGAAGACTGGAAAGATCTCCCACGCGTGCGCGGGGTGTCTGGGGGGTGCGGTGATCATGTCCGCCGTTAGACTTGGGTGAGGACGAGAGAAAACGAGAGACGGGGGGGCAGGAGCGGTGGTGTAACGCAAGTGGGGGGGGTGTACTCACAGTCGTGCATGCTGTAGTCGTTAGACCATTGACCTCAAATTCCTACAAAGCGGGGACGGAGCACCCCGGGTTCTCACCGGACCAGGCTCTCACGTCACCAAGCGCGAAGCGCCGTGACGTATTCGGCGAGTCGCATGAAGGGTGCGTAACGCAAGTGTGGGGGGTGGGGGGTGTACTCATAGTCGTGCATGCCGTAGTCGTTAGGCCATTGACCTCGCATCCCTACAAAGCCGGGACGGAGCACGCCGGGTTCTCACCGGACCAGGCAAGTGGGGGGGGGGGGGGAGTGGCATGTATATAGCTCGAATTTTGTTTCGTGGACTGTTTTCTGGTATGTTCCTCGTACTACCCACCCCATGCCAGCGTGCCAAGGTTGATCTCTGCCGATCTCCGTCTGTATTCTTACATTGTGTGCGTATGTTCTCAGGGTGAGCACTTGGAACCCGGGCGCATCTTGTCCAACCGCCCGCATTCGTTTGCCTCCGATATCTGCTGCACTCAGTCCTGTTTCTCTTGCCGTATGTGCCGGTCAGTCACGTCGCGCCCGCTCTCCGTCGTCTGTATTTCTACCCGCGTTTTTCAGCACCGACATCAACGGCAGCAAGTCCTTGGACCGGGCCCGACTCGACGCCAAGCGGGCGGGCAAGCGCGAGAAGCTCGAGGGCGTATAGACGACAACAATGACTTTAGGAGCTGGAAAGGTCGGGCCGTTGGGGACAGGAAGTGCTCCAGCACCGACAGGGGGGAGATTGGGGGGCGTGGGGAAAACAGATCGTTCGCGTACGTGAAGAGCGTGGGTCAATTTCGGCCGGTTCAACAACTGGGGGAGTTTTGACGGGCTTTTTTTTTTGTCTTTCCTGCGGGCGCTTGAGAACGCTGCGGACTTGCCCAGGGTGGGTGCATCGGCAAATGGTCCCCCGCTGATGCGGGCATGATCATACCTGGGTGTACGGACACCCAGTCAGCGGGTGCGGGCCGCGGAGGGGAAGGAGGGGTTGCTCTTGAGAGCGTCGACGCCTCAATTTGCTTCGGAATAAATATGTACGACACCACACAGATTGGACGGCCTGATATGACGGGACTCAGGGAATCCCTTCACGCTTGATTATTGTGGTGTGGTTGTCGCTCGTTGAAGGGCTGGTCGGAAGACAGCATGGCCGCTGCGCGGGCCATCGATTCGTCGGAGATGGTGGAACCGCACAATACGCCGAGAAGAGAATCATTTGCAGCCAACAGGGGGGTTTCGTTCGTCTTCTGTGCTTTTTACCCCTCCTCTCACGCATCTATGGCACGGAGGCCGCGGGAGTTTGTCCGCCACGTGGCGTTCGGTCCCTCACATGGCAAGAGTTGCGCTTGAGGCGGTCAGTTCCCGATGAGTTTTATCTGTTGCCTGCCTGGAACTCTACCTTCGCCGTGTGGATAGGGCAGTGCACTGCGATGTTGGGGGTGCCGTCGCCCTTTCATGCGTGCAGACCCCCGAGCCAATCGCGATTTGAGCGTAGCTTTCTACGTGCAGAACAGACGGCGCGAACGAACACAATGGCGCTGGGATGCATGGCGCTGGCATGCAAATCAGGGAAATCGCAGAGCCCAGCGGCGAGGGGAAGCCGTACCCGGTTCCCTAATTGTATCCCCGCACACGCCTAAACACGTACACACACCCAGAGGAACCCTACTGCTGTGTGAACAGCCAAACCCCATTTTCACGTGTATGTTTAAATTTCGTATGCAAGCACATGCGGCCCTAAGCCGAGTAGCGTTTCAAATGAAATAGCCCCGTGCCTTTCAGTTTCTACCGTTGCAGTTGCTTCTATGGCCCGTTGATGGACTTGAAAGCGGGTTCTAAATCCTCGACCGCACATTGCAGCCTGTTTAGTACGAAGCCGCCATTCAACCATGCTCCCCAAGCACACACTCTGCTCGCATTTGTTCTCGAGGGGATTTTGAACTTTTACGCCAGCCGCCCCGAGAAAGATGACCGAAAAAAACGTACGTCCTTTCCTTCCACCGACGGCCGAAGTACCGCACAAAAAGCCAACCAGCTACCACCGCTCTTACCATGACAAGAGTTCGTAGACAACGCGACCATTTGCAAGACGTCATCCAGAGATATGAGAGGGCGCACTGACCTACGTGATGAACGTGCGGTACCGTGAACACGATTCAAATGATTTGCCCTCCGCACACAACACAAAAACGTGTGAAAGAACAACGCAGGTCGACTCTGTACGATTCGGAAAAAACAATCTCTACAGAGATCCTCGCTTTTTTTTCTCCAAGTCATGTTACCGCTATTTATCACTGTCGCTCGACGTTTAAAGGTTACATCCCTCTCGCGCCTGTTTCTCGCCGAACACAACGTCAAAACACGACGAATCCACAACATACGATGTGACGTTTGTATCCGATTAATCGTCTTGAGTAGACAAGAGTCCTCACGACAACCCCCCCTGAACACCAAAACGTACGCTTCCATTGCCCACGCGCCCGTCGTTGCAACCCCATTAAATATGCCAAAACGTACTCTTCTTGTTCTCCGCCTATCGGATGTCTCCGGTGTGTTGCACGAAACCATGAAACACAGCCCACTCGAGAGGCGGGAAAGCCTCCTTCACTTCTTCCCGAAGAAGCTAGAAATGCTCTTCATCCCCTTCTTGTTCACCTTCGCAAGGCTCCTCTGTGCGTGGCTCAGCGGCTGCTTCGCTTTCGTCGCGGCTGCCGCTGCTTCGGTCTTCGCCTGGAGGGCCGGCAGCACCCACACAAACGGCCAGCCGGCGAGGGGGTACAGCAGTAGCACATACGAGCAGAGAGGATGCAACACCAGCACGAAAGAAAAGGGGCGGGTGTTACAGGCCGCGCTCATTCATGTTCCGCCTGCCCTCACACGGCAGCTGCAACCAAAGCCTTCTCACTGGTCCTTCCTAGCCTTGGCCCAGACGGAGGGCGTGGGCGGAAGAAAAAATTAAACGATTGTTCGGATTTCGTACCTATGCGATACACGAACGGCGTCTATCACACGGATAAAGAACCAGGGCCGCTGAGAAACAATTTAGCACCCAAAAAAACGAAACAAGAATCACTCCGTTCAAGGCGCAGGGGATTCCCATCTAAACCTCCCCCCCTCTCACCCCCCCCCCCGGTGTTTACCATCGGGGTTGGGTTTTCGTCGCTTGGCAACGACGTTGTAAAACAAGCCAATTCACTTCGTGAACTCGGCAACCAAGTTACCGGTTTTTTTTTTCACGTCGGGTTTTTTTTTTGGCGGTAACCATAATGGTGGTCGAGTAGATCATGTTGTCCGGGGTGGAGAACCCTCACTCCGCGCAACGGGGGATGATCGCACCACGTTGTGTTAATATTGGTCAAGCACCCTCGAGGCAGTTACACAGTGCTTACAACTGTCTCTGGAATTGAAAGCACCAGAAAATAAATTAAGTCATACGTAGCTGTCATCCGTACGCAAGGAAATAAGCACAAGATGCCGAATACCCTTAGCAGGATGCAGCTCACCCTTCATGCGACTCGCCAAATACCTCAAGGTGCTTCGCGCTAGGTGATATGAGAGCCTGGTCCGGTGAGAACCCGGCGTGCTCCGTCCCGGCTTTGTAGGGATGCGAGGTCAATGGTCTAATGACTACGGCATGCACGACTATGAGTACACCCCCCTCTCACTTTCTGTCCCCCGCCGCTACCGTGCGACAGCTCCAGGTTACGATCCGTCTCCGCCGTCTCTTCCCATACAGTCTTGCGCTTCTTCGTGGCAGTCGATCTACCTCCGAACAAGACTCCCCGCTCCGTGCTTGTGACGGGAGAAATCGGCGTGATACGAAGAAAAGTGACGACGCGGGACAAGGTGGGTAGGTGGGGGGAGATAGATCGGCCACCTGTCGTCGATCCGAGCCAGGTGAGGGTCGCGGGGGGGCGTTCTTGGTACGAGGTGCTCTTCACAATCTGGACTGGAAAACTATCGAGCAAGGTAACGTGAGCTTCTACCGCCGCTCTTGGTGGGACAGTAGTCATAGCTTAAGAGGAATTTCATCGGAAACGAATCAAAAACTCACGGCCAACCGCAACAACACGTATTCCAATGCGACAAATGCGCACCATCCACGTTGAACGTAACGCACCCCCCCACCTAGCATACTGAATGGGAGAGCGTTCAGGAAGTCCATCCCCTTATCTTCCTCTCCACCCCCAAAACCCACCCAAATCTTTCCGCCAGCTTCGTCGCCCACTCGTCTCCAAGGTACTCGCAGACAGCCTCCAGAGCGCGCTGCTTGCATTCCGCTTCCACCTCCTTCTGCATCCTCGCATCCATCGGCGCCGCAATCGCCTGAAAATCTCTAGCAAACCCTGCGCCTCCCGCCGCCGCGCCCCCGCCCGCCCAACCGGACTCCTCCCCCCCCCCGGTTGCGAGCTCCGTGAATCTTCTCGTTGCACGCTCGACCTTAGCGGTGAGCCAAGCCAGAACGGATTCCTCGTTGATTCGGATAAGCAGATCGTCTGGGCCCATTCGGTCTGCGACGATACCGCCCAACAACAACCATGGCGTCGGACAACGAAAATTCGGCGGGAGTCTTGACGGCGGGGATCTGTTGCGCAAGGTGTAGTCTACCCTCGCACGTACAACCGCCCGTGCCCTATATCTCTTAGTAGACGATCTAAATCGCAGGCTTAAAAATAATTACCTTGGTTTCGTGGTACGGTGTGCATACATACATACATGCCTCATGTGTGCGCTGGGCCGATCGATGCAAAGTGGAAGAAAAGGGTGAAACAACCGTGTCTTCTCGCGTGTCAGCTCCACAAGCCGATCGGCATGCTTCGGGCGCGGGGGGCGGAGGTTTTGGGTGCGGGACAAATTTGAAATTCACGCAAGGTTTTGGTCATGCGGAGTGGCACTATCTATCCCCGTTCGCTCAAATGTTTCTTGAAGTGGACGCTGCCTATCGTCGTGCGCTACCAAACACAGAGCTACGATACCTCTTCCTCATTCTTGTACCTTTTTTGAAACATGAAATTATGTGGACCAAAGCCAAAGAACAACTTGAAAGTAAATGTAGCAGCGCACACAACGCCAGCCCCCGGATCCACCACCCACCGTTCACATCGCAAAGCTTGTCCGCGTCGAGATGCCTGAGGCCCCTCAAGCTGCCGCACCCCCCCTCCGCCATGGCCTGGGCTAGCGGGCACCACCGGGTGGCGTGCTTCGCCAGCACGGGCAGGAGGAGGAACAACGGGTCCACCCTCGAGGCGGCGTGGACGGCGCCGTCTTGCTGGACGGCCTGGTCGATGAAGAAGCTGGCCAGCTCCTGGGGCTCGCGCGGACGAGCCACCTGGAGCTCGAGCAGGTTGTCTCCGACCATCATGAACTTGGTCGCCTCTCCTTTTGGATTGTTGTACATACAAGTAGAGGGAGAGACAAAAATTTCGGCGGTCGTGAAAAGAACAAACGAAAGCGAGCAAAACTCTTTCGACTGCTGTGGTTACGTCTCAAACGGGTCTGTAGTCTTTCTGTGTTATTATGTCATATTTTCTACGAAAAACGAAAGACAACAAGACCCTATATATCTGGTAAGCCTAGCAGCACCCTGGGATGGAACACGGCTTGACACTTGCGGCCGGGGTCGCTGGGGGCGTCGTCGTCTGTGTGCCCGCTAGATGGAGCTGTAGGTTTTGTTGTTCGTGTTGATTACAATAGAGGGTATCAAGATATTGGGGTTTGAATTTGTACCAAGTACTCGTGCAAATTTGCCGCTACAGAAGAGGTGAGCCTCTAAATGCTTTGTGTCCCCAGATAGTCTAGGCAAAATGGTACGTGGATCGGTGCTTTCCAGCAGGCGGGAGAACAAAAAAAACACCGAGCGTCCCCGCTGTCAAGCTTTCTGTCTGCTCACGAGAGAATCGTAGGGCGCGAGGGCCTTCTGGGTATGCCCCCCTCTTATTCCATAGCTGTGCACCCGGTGCTACGTTGAATACGCTTCGCCGCATAACAATGAGTGCCGCAGTGAGAATGGCTGTTCTGGCAGGTGCCGCCGCTTCTGCGGCTCTCCACCGGCAAGCATCCCCTGCAGCCGTACCGCCGCCGCCGCCGCAGCTACAGCGGTGGCGGCCCCAGCTTCGCTCCGGCAGTCATCAACCACACCAGCGGCGACGGGCGTGAACTTGACGACGCCGGTGAGGTCCTCGGTCAGCGCCGCTCCCTCCATCGGTGAAGACCCCGGGCATTCTGCCTCAGTCGGCGAACATTTTTGATGCGTCGGGGGCGCGTACAGCAGTAGTCTCCTGCCGTACAGGAGTATGACACAAGATAACACACCCCCTGGACCAATTTTCAAAGCTCGACTACGCCACGACGAATAGGATGCATAAATGAAACAATACACTTTCGGAAGGCTCTCGACGACACAGCTTCAACACCACCGTTTTCGGCGCTGTGGCTCTTTTTGCTGTTGAGAAATCGAGATTTGAAAATTGGTCCAGGGGGTGTGTTACAGGGGGTGTGCTATCTTGTGTCCTTTACGGTAGGCACCTCGCATCTGGACCCGCAGGCCACGGCCAAGACAACCGACCGCATCACGGCGGACGTCGAGGCCCGGGCGGCCGCTGCGTTTGTCTCCGTCAAACGGCGTCACCCAGGTCGCCGACGCCACCGGAAAGACCCAGATTGTTCACCTGTGCGAACTGCCTCGACGACTGCATGGGCCGGCACGGCAGCACCAAAAGCTCCCGCCGACATGCTGCGCTACCTTTGTAAAAAGAAAAAGCAGGCTTTATCCACCGAACCTGGCGCTATTACAGTAGTAGGTCTGGATTTTTTTGCTGTACGTCTAAAGAGGCTCTTTCCCGCTAGAAATGTTCAAAGTCTTTGGTACCATGGTACATATTCCACACGCTCTTTCGGAGGGGTTCTTGTATGGGGGACGGGGCGGTGGGTAAGGAGCAACTACGGGTGGTATCCTCCGTACATGCGGTTCTGTCAAATACAGCAGGCATACATAGACTACAGCATGCATACATTGCTGCACTTGGTCTCTCTTGACCCTCAGAATAACGACGCCATCCCTGCTTCTGTGATTGGTGTACCGACGCCACACGTACTGAGTGCAGTCTACCACCCGTCCATCCCTTGGCGCAAAGAAGTGGTTTGCACTTCGACAGAGACGCGAGCGCGCGCGAGAGAGAGGAGAGTTGTCGGCCAGGGTGCCTGAATCATACTGAGACGCTCTTTACAACGCATGACTGCTGCACGTACATTGCCTGTTCCATATGCAGCAGCCAGGCTGGCGCTCTCTTGATGTTTGTCTTTTTGTCAACAAAGAGGTACTGCTGACATGTGCTTGTACGGCAGTAGACAGCAATAGACGCCATCTGACCTGTGCGTGGATGAACCAGCCCGATCACCTTCGCAACCAACTCGCTGTTTCTCCCCTTTGAATCCTTTAGCGATGAAAAAGAAAATGCCTCGTCCTGCATCAAGTAGACATGCTGGTGGGCCATGGCCGCAGCGAAATAGAGTACCTGTGTCGTGAGCGGTAGCTCAGTATGTTGTACTCGCGGTTGGAACTGCATCAGATTTCGAAATTTGAAATTCGAAACAGGGGGCACCGGGATATGTTGTACACGGTAGTGTGGTAGTCTGTATTCCTTCCTGCCTCTGTTCCGCAATGTATGGTCGAGTACGTACGTGGTAAACAAGAGGTCAGGAGTTCGAGCCTCGCCCAGAAGAACATATATATGTCTATTTTTTCCAAAAATCACATACCATATTATTCCAAAAAAAAATTACTTCCTTCGTTTTTGTTCCTCCAAGTAAGTGTCTAATTTTGGTCACCCTACGGTTTTGCTCCCGGTCAACACGAAAGAACGAATAGTGATGCTTTAAATACGTGGGTGTACAGGTAGCTCACATATCCAAAAACACAACGCAAACGAAAAAAATCAAATTCACTTTTTTCTGGCGCGTACGAGAGCCAATAACGGCGGCCTTTTTTCCTTGCTGACCGCCTTCTCTGGAGATCAGTTGTATCGGAATTAGTTTTCTCATGAGGGGGGATAAAACCTTGGCACCCCCTTTCTTTCTTTTTTACCTTGGCCGCCTATCTTGTCCGAGCAATACGCAATAAATAAAAATGCTGAAAAGACTCACCGAACGCCCTAAACTGCAGTAATACCGACCTCATCTACCCGGAAAATCGAAACCGACCTGATGATGTATGTATGTATATTATTCCGGAACAACAGAGGGAGTATACAAAACACAGAAAACGGGGGATGGATGGACGATGCACGAGGCATTTTCCCTCAACCTCGACGTTTGACGCCCGGGGGCAATCCGTTGTATCGCCGTTTCAGCAACGGCAGCGACATCGTCCCATACAACACGACTTTACTGTTGTTGCTGTTCGATGCCCACATCATCAACGTCAAATCAAAGTGTCAGCCTCCGTCAACATCGTCTCCTGCATGTATGTATGTTCGCGTTATGCTCGACTGTAGGTTGTACCGTACTTTTTTTCTGAAACACGATACAATACACGAGTTATTATCCTCCCTGATAAATGTAGACTAGACTTTTGTTCAATACCCAAAAAATACTTTGTTTCTCCCGCACGCTCTCTCCCACGCTAAAGTTCTGTTTTCTTCACCTCTCTCCTATATTCCTCAGGTGGTACATTTGCAAAGGGCCGGACCGTACCCCCTTCCCCAATTAATTACGGAGGTGGCACGTCGACACCATCAAACAATGGAATCGCTGCGTTGCTTGAGTGCCACGGAAGCCGCTTGGCGTACGATCATCCACGACATGCACTTCCGCCAACCTGCGCAGAAGGTGACCGCACCATACGCAGATTAGCCTCCATTATTCCCGAACCGCCATCTTTACTACGATGACGTTGAGGTACCTTTCCTTTCATATATCTATTTTTTTTTTTGTCTTCACTTCAAATCAGCGCTCACAGCACTACTACTCCAACCCGTGGTCACACAGAAGAGCCCCTCTCTACCCTCCCCTCCTGCGGTACTTTGCCTTCGATTTTTAATGCGAGAGTAGTTCAGCACTCTCTTCCCTCTGTGTACACACGAACTACTAGCGCTATCCACTAGTAGGCCAGGAGCGGAAGCGAGAGAACAACTCACTTTGCAAGAAAATTTGCTCACGCCGGGATACGAACCCCTGACCTGACCTCCAGAAGGTTTCGAGGATACCAACTAGACCACCGGGGCGACCGGCGTCATTTCTTGCTCTTCTCCGAATCGTACGCCATATTTTTCTCTTCAAAGTATTCCAATCAACGCTGATATTTTTTCCCAATACTTTGTCATAAATAGTCTATCTCTTCAACGGGAGCCTCCGGTGTATGGATGGAGCTTTTCATTCCGTTCCATTCAAGACCCTACGTCGTTTCATACCGGGAAGGGTGTACCCCCTCCACTTACGGTCCAATGACTTCAGTTCCATTCAACATCCGGCGTCTTCTCATGCCGGGGAGAGGTTACCCCTTCGCTTACTACGGGTCTGATCACCGAATTTCATCTGGGACGTGGTGCGCGTGTACCGTGCGTCCTCGGTTCGAGTGGACCCCGACGAAGCGACAGAAAAGCTCACTTGCGCTTCACGTTCGTCTTCTCCACCTCATATTACCAACCACTTCTTTCACGTCGTTTATCCATCCATCCATTCCTGCCATTACGTGCACCACATGCTCGACACCTCATCGGTCAGGGCGGAATGAGCGTCATGTCTGTCTGTCTCACGGTCTCAACCGACTATTACCATCTTTGGCCGGTGCCTACCTTCCCACGTGCGGAAGTTGTTTCCATGTTTTTCTCCGTGTACCTTCTTCATCATCCACAACATATGTATGTATGTCTACTCTTCGCACCTTCCTATTCACAATCAATCAATCTACAGATCCTTCCCAATGAGCCGCGGACCGCCAACCGCGACCGTATTCTTCCTTAACATCAGTCAGTATCTCCAAACCTTCACACATCTTCGATGGATTCACTCCTGCTTTTTCCCATTGATTACATAGCTCGTGGATTTGACTACATATCTGGTCCAAAAAACACGCGCAGCTGACGTACTTTTCACTCGAACAGTCCAGTGAACGTTAACGAGAACTTAATTGTGAAGCAGACCAATCTGTACAAAGTCTTGACTACTACATAGCAGCTCAAATATAGGCGCAGGATGCAAGTGCCGACATTCATTGTGCTCGCTGTAGCACGCTACTGTGGTAACGCGCAAGGCGTGCTTGTGACCGTGGCGTCACTCATGGTGTCGGGTTGTTGTTGTGGTATGTAAGCCTGCGGTGAGCGTACAACATAGACTATTCATGGGGCTGCTTTGCCGTGTGCCTCCTTACGATCCTGTGTGGCTCTGCCGTGCATATGTGTC